TGAACAAAGGTGACTAGGGTGGGACCTACAGTAGTTTTATCCATCTGTATGTGTTGGGTTGATCGTGTTTGCTAAGTGGTGTTTACTATTGCTAATACTTAAGATTAGAGGCTTGTTTAAATAACTACCCATAAGTTTTGAACTTCAGGTTGTAACATGTCCTGCACCATTTGTGCTCCAGGCATGAATAAATGAAGTTATGTGGACCGAGCGTTTTGATTGGACGAACATTTCTTGGTCCTACGCCTTCCACAGAATATAAAAATACAGATAAATACATTTAGACCGCTTAACTTGATGATTGCTATCGGCATGTGAAGAGACTTTCAACCAGCATAACAAAAACATTTTCTGAAGACAATCACCTATTGCACCTTTAATGTATGCTTTCCCATTATTGAAAATAGCTGAGAGCTTAAATTGGTTGATTTCACCTTGATTTTTGAAACTTCCTTAACATTAAAGATTAGTGGCCACATGAGAAACACAAGTTTCTAAAAAAAGACTGTTTATTTCCCTGTATGAACATAAAAGCATTATCATGTTCATTAGCTGTGCTTTTTATAGAGTCTGAGTCTCTAATTGTGTCACGTTACATAATTATATATCTGTGTTGGAGATACAGTTTTTTGTGGCTGAAGGCTGTTCAGCTCACTCGGTCCCAGCCCCATTTACTAAACCGAACATATACTTACTCTATATGTCAGCGCAGGAGTGTATAGCTATTATCGCCTGCTTTTTCTAACATATGTTCATGTGTATCATCTCTAACTTGTAATTACAGGAAAGGAAAGAGGGAGAGACCTGTAGTGAAAGAACAGCAGCCGCTCTGCCAGGTCAAACAGACTCCTGCTCACAGTAGAGAGACAGCGGGATGTTAAGTTAGAAGATGTTTGCGCAGAAGAGTATTTCTGTGTGTGCCAGTGAGATTAGTTTACAAAGGGATCAGGCTAACTCGCTCTTAAAGGGGCAGTTCACCCCAAACATTTAATTTCTGTCATAATTCGTTTCACATCGGCAGGAAGAAATGCATACAGATTGTGAACAACATGATGCGGGTGTGTAAATAATGCCAGAATTTGGACAAAAAAAGAGGTTGGAAAAGTACAAGACAGATGTGAGGAAGGCTGAGTGAATGAGATTCAGGCCTTATTATTTACATGCTGCTGTGACTCTGTGATGCTGAGGTTTAGTGCTTTTGAAAATGTCACGATCTGTAAATGGGTTTTACGTTTGACATGCAAATGACAGTAGAGATGGCATTACTGTGGACATTTTTATTGCTCAGCTCAATGCTTTCATAGCTCAGCTTAATAGGTTTGTTCACCTAGATTTGAGTGTTCTGTCCGTTTTACTGACTTACTTAATCTATCATGTAAATTGGAAAAAGAAAGAATGAATCCCCCAGATTTACATTTGTATATCATTGCCTTGAAGGTGGGCTCTTTAGCCCAATACCATAGTAACCACAAAACAATGTATTACATTGCTCAAAACACCTTAGCAACCGCATGGCAATGCCCTAACAACCACCCCTGCATCCACATAGAAGGCAGGGCATGTGTATTCGTATAGCGCACAATACACAATAGTAATTCAAAGTGCTTTAACTGTCCCCCCTTTTTGAACATAGATGCAAAAATGCACTGAACTGAAATGGTTGTAATTCATGAACCATTTGAAAAAAAAAACCAGACCTAAGATTTGTCTCTTTTTATAGAAGACAATCAGGGAATGATTGCTGAAGTGAAAGCATTAAAAAAATGGTGTAAAAAGTAATAGTTTACGTTTACTGTTTGAAAATGTACTGTATGAACATGTTTTATAGATATTGCTATAAAAGCCACAATAAAATAAAACTAAACTAAACCAAGTCATGTGTCCAACTAAGCTATGTTCCGAATTTGAAGTTGATATCACAAAAATTGAGGTTCTAGTGAGATTTTGTAGGCAAAAATTATTATTGTAGTTGTTGTTGTTGTCGTTACTGTTTTAATGCATTTTCCTGTCACAAATGTATACATTTCTCTCACAGTATTTCTTCAGTAACAAACTGGTGACCAAATATGGAATCTTGAGACTCAGACCTTTCAAGTTCTATCTGTTATGGCAAGATTAGGAAAAGCTTTCATTATAAAATACTGTAGTATATTTTGAAATACGACACTGATGACACTGCCCACTAGTGGCAGGAGTTCATTAAAAAGATTTAAAGTACCATTTCCATGGTAACACAACATCCAATTTCAAAATGGTTTTCACATGATACATTTTGAGTGTCTAAGCTTTCAAATGATGTCCAATTTAGTGGACGTTTATGTGTGATGGGGAAAAGACAATAAAAAAAGACAGTTAAGTGGTTAAAGAAAAAGATAAGAACATAAACTCAGCAATCAGCAAAGCACAATACGGTGTAACCAAACAATACCCTAGCAACTCCATAGCAACCAGCTAAAAAAATCTAAAGGCACCTCAGCATCCGCACAGCAGTAGCAACCCATAACACTCCAGCACTGCCCCTGTTTCTTCAAAACATGTTTGAATCTAATTTGGCGTTGTGATTACATTAGCAGGACGGTGTCCGCCCTGCTGGCACGATGATGATGTAATCTCTGTGAGCCCCCTGCTCTCGGTCTCTCGATCCGCTCTGTTAAGGACTGTGTGTGTGTGTGTCTGATTAGCTGGGCTGCTGTAGGAAGGGAGGTGGTCTTTGCCTCTGGAGACTCACGGAATCGTGAATGATGCAGCACTTGATAGACGGACTGGAGGTAAAGTCTTTCTCTTTTCTCCGTTTCTGTCTTTTCCTTCCATCTCCCGTCTGCTGTTTGTTGAATAATCTCTGGGGAATTTGATACTCAGGGGTCTTGGCGTTACTATGGATTTACTAATGGATGTTGGAGTGTATTACTTTAGTAGGGAAGCGTCAGCCGTAGACTGCTGGTAGTCATCTGGAGGTTTTGTTTATAGGAGCGGCCTAAGAAAATCAGCGGTGTTTGCCGGTTAAACCTCAGAGAAGTGTTGTTTGGCTTGGTCACATCTCTGGAAGTGGCCGTGAGAGAATGCAGAGGTGTTTTACGCCCCGGGCTGGCTTTGTGGTCATGCATTTGTTTGTGTTATGCATTGTGTGCAAGTTATTTTTAGCTGCTGGTGAACAACTGCAGACTGACAGGCCTGGAGCAGCACTGCTGTTCCTGCCGAGGTATTTTCCTAGCTCCGGCTTGTTTAGCTTTGGCCAATGTCATTGCTAGCCTCTCTCAGGGCTGATCTGAGGTCATGCACTGTCATGCACCTAGTAGACTGTGATTAACATACGGTTTAAGAAAGATGTTCAAGACTCTTGCCTGGTGTTAAAGACATGTGTATCTCTGCGGAGGCAATCCTCAGTGTTTATATGTGTTTTTATTGATAGACAGTCAGACGGTCCTGAACACTAGGTGGTAGCAAACTGTATAACTGCTGTATAATTGATTACTTTGAACTGTAGAAGATGAAGACAGTTATGAGTTGAAGGCTGTGCCATTTCATGATAATATATATATATTTAACTGTTTGATCAAAGTTATTGCTAGGGATAATTTGGTAGTCGCTGGATATGGTATTAGATATTTCTGCTGTGCGCCCCACACTTTGAGAACCACTGATTCATCCTAATTCTTCAGCATCACATTAAAAGAATTTGTCATTTTTCACACAGTATAATGGAGACTAAACATGAAGCAAAGTGGGAGAGAAAGAGGGGGATGGGATTGGAAAGAACCAACAGCTGAGATTCAAACTCGGGTTACGTAGAATTGATTGTCAAGATTTAGTGAACGTATGTACAGTTTGGCTGTAGTTTATGGACAAACTTCTATAACTTCAATAGGTCCCTCCTATTGGAAAAATACATTCAATAAAAAAGTAATAAATGTTGGGTTTTTAATCAGGTTTGGGTTTAAAGGGATAGTTCACCCAAAAAAAATGAAAATTCTGCTATCATTTACTCACCCTCAAGTTGTTCCAAACTTACGAATTTCTTTCTTCTGCTGAACACAAAATAAGATATTTTGTAAAATGTGGGTAATCAAACAATGAGTATTTCCAATGTCAACCCACATTCTTCAAATTATCTTAATATATAAATAAAGAAATCACTGCTAAAAACATTGACAGCCAATCAGATTCAACCTGACTTTAAAAAGCTTGATATTTAAAGCAACAGACACAGTAACCACAGCTCAAAACAGAACATTATTGTCAATGGATGTGGACAGTAATACAGTTTTATATATTATCATTCTTGGTGTGAATAGGCATTTAGTCCTTAGTAAATGCACAATCTCTATTGGACCTTGAAAGCTCTTCAGACACAAATTCTACATCATTTGAGTAAAGGTGCGGTCACATTAGAGGAATTTGTCAGGTAAAAATATGTCCATGCATGAAGCACAGCTCATATAGAAGTCATGCGAAATTATGTGATCCACTTAAACCTGTTGCAAAAGCTGCAAATCTTTCCACGCAAAATTCCCATTTGCACACAATTCAACTGAAATGACTGGATTTCGCCCACAAAAATTTGCTGAACATCGGTAAATGTGACCGCACCAAGTCTGACTTTTTTTAACATGCAGCTTGTGCTGAAGTATTTGTTCAGGTTTTATACACGCGTGTGTGTGTGTGTGTGTGTGTGTGTGTGTGTGTGTGGCAGGATGCTTGTATTGTTTTTGTGGAAGTTAGACAACAGACTGTTATGAACTGGTTTGAATTGTTGAAACTGCATCCTGTTTAATACTGAATAAGCCCTCATTACATAAACAAGATCACAGTGTATGAACATGCATCCAGCTGTGTTTCTAAATATCCATTAAGGTGATGATATTTTACACGGCATCTTAATATTATGTATGGATTAGCTTTATTACCTTTTCAAGACTTTTGAGAGTTAAAAAACATTATGAAGCTTCAGTACTTCACATAAAAGCTTGACTTTGTGCAAATAAATGTTGGTGTGTGTGCAGGTGGATAAGCAGCAGCAGAGTAAGGACTCTGTGTACTTCAGAGATGGCATGCGGAGGATAGATTTCGTTCTGTCTTACATCGACGACAAGGACGGAGAAAAGAAACAGGTGTGCCATCCATTCAGTTACGTTTTATAATCGTATGATAACAATTTCTGTTTTACAGGTTTATATTCATATGATAACATTTGGCATCCTTCTGTGAGTTGTGAGACAATTGGGAAAACATAATAATTTGCCTAAACAAATTACTAACTCTAATAAAATAAAATAAACTAATAGCCATCCTTCAAAACAATTTTTTCCTATCCCTTAGAAATGGTAATTAGCATTGAGTCAGAGCTGCTTATGCAAGAATTTAGCAAATCTATAATATCGGCAAACCGATATTAGGGAGAGAAAAATACCCGATATCGATATATCGGCCGATATTCTTTGTGTAGGCTATATAAAAGTACAGTATAGTCAAACGTTTTGACACACTTCCTATTTGTGTGTCCAAACTTTTGACTGGTATTGTATATAGAATACAGTATACATATAAACACATTTTTTGCAATAACTCAAATGTGGTGATCAAACACTTGTGTGTCACTATGTGACAAATAGGTCTCTGTAATGGAAGCAGGGTATTTAACAATTTAACAATAAACTTTATTATTCAAAATGAGTCTGGCATCAGTGCACTTAACAGTAAACTTCACTTAATATAAATAACTTAAAAAACACAAATAGAACAAAATATATATATATCTTGAATTAAGAAAATTAACAAGGTAACTGCATAGGGCAAGCAAGACATACTGCCAAACCAACAGAAGCACAGCTCATCTAAAATGAATAAATAATAATAATGAATATTTTTTTTTAACAAATTCTGTGTTGTGTATTTTCTGGTAATCAAATGAACATGTAGAACATGAGGATTCATATTTAAAATAGTTTTTTGCAGTTTAATATTCACAGACACTAGTCTATATCGCGATTTGATTTAAGTGTACTGATATTTATTTATTCATCAAAAATAAGACAAATTCCATGAAATTCTGCGTTATACAGTAAATTTCATTTTTACGAATGGATTTCCACATCGCGGAAATCACAGGGCCCTACTAATGTAGCAAACGAGTATGATAAGCTCATTGTGAGAGTAAAAGACGGACACATTGTTTATTTACTTTATAGCATTGAGTCTCACCTACTAGGTGACAACGTAGCATTAAATCACCATTCAACAGACTCAAGCAACCACCGCACTGCCATCTATTGGACTGCAGAAAGATACTAACTTTTCAATCTGCTACGTTACTGACTGTACTGACAAACTATGCTGACACACCAAGTCTACACTGGACGTGACAAATTGACGATCATTTGTACTTTGTGTCAGTACGTCATAAATAGAACGAGGCATCAGTATTGTCGGGATTTGTCGTGTCGCGTCGCGCCGCATCCAGTGTAGACAGCATCACTGATTATAATGGGTTCTATTGTATTTTGTCATGCCGCACCGCACCGCTCGCATCCGGTGTAGATACCCAGTTAGGAAATGTGATGTGGCCGATGTGATAAACTTGAGTTCTGGGCCGCGTGGCCGGTGTAAACACAAGCATTGACTGAGTGGCCGCGGTCAGCTCCGGTGGCCGTGGAGCCTTATGTGTAGCAGACGCATGCAGTGATGCACAGATCAGCGCTAACACCACTGAATCTGCCGTTAAAAATTAACCATCCATTCATCATATCATCATGCAAAACTAAGAACTAGAATCATTGTAATGTGACAATCAAATATAGGTGCGGTGGGTGGCAGGCGGATAATTTATTTGAAGTTAGCAGACTCGGGTGAAGTTTGAGCTCATCCGCGCATCTCTACACTACACTGACCTGGGTCGCCAGTAGCAAACAATGGAGCGTGCTCTGCTGGACAAACTAAGTAATTACACCATTTAGAAGCATTTCATCTGTGTTATATTTTCTGTAAAAAAATAATTCATATCAGCGGCATATTCACAGATACCGATATATCTGCGACAGGCTCATATCGGCCGATAATATCGGCAAAACTATATATTGGTCGAGCTCTAGTCAGAGGTGAGAGTCTGTATGCACTTCCACGTTCTTGTCACTCACAAAGTATGTGCTTTACCAGGCCTGGCCAGGAACTCACACACACATGCAGCTCTGCAGACACAAATATTGATCTTCAAAAGCTTTACAGTCTGTTTGTCTGTCATAAAAAGTTACCAGAAACCCTTCTTGTCCTACGTACAGTATGTACTGCAGCAGAAGCACAAATCAGTCAGATGTTTTACTGATCTTTCATGCAGGATCGAAGGAAGGAGTTTGAGGCTAACTTAGAGAAAGCTGGACTTGAGCTGGAGACGGAGGACAAATCTGTGAGTGAAACATCTAAAATCACAAATGACACCAGAAATCCCATCAGGACATTGATATATATTATTGTTCTTACTTTTTACCTGTTACTGTTCATTTAAAAGAAACTGTATTAGAAACAGCATTAGTTACACAAGTCACACACGGTTGTCTTTGCAGGAGTCTGAAGATGGGAGGACATACTTCCTGAAGATCCATGTCCCATGGGAAGTGCTGGCAACATATGCAGACGTTCTAAAAATCAAAGTGCCTTTTAAAACCAACGATATTACTGATAAAAAAGACGTGCCCATGAGCTGGCTCTGTACTCCCTACCGTCTGCCCGAGCATGTGATGCAACCTGAGCCCGACTATTTCACCGCCACCTTTGACAAGAGCAAGATTGACTTCTTCCTCATCGAGGACAAAGAAACCTTCTTTCCTCCGTCCACACGGAACAGGATTGTAAGAAAACTAGATGAAATGCCAAGAATATGTACAAATATTACAAGATATTACATTATAGTAACCTCTACTGCAGCAAACTTTTACTGTGCCCTGTAACCAAAGGCTTGGTTTATTTTCTTCTCCATGTAGGTATATTACATCCTTTCCCGATGTCCGTACAGTAAAGAAGACAAGGATAAGAAGGGCATCAAGAGGCTGCTGAACAACGGGACTTACGCAGCTGCCTTCCCTCTGCATGACGTAAGTCTTTAACAGAGGAAGATGTGCATTCAGTGGCACAAACCTATCGACTAGTAGATGTTTCTCTAGAGACTTGCTTTCGTAAGGTTTAATAACGATAATAACAATAACGTTAATGTGTGTTTTTTGTAGTCTAGGTACTGGACCAGGTCTCGTGATGCTAATTGTGAGAGTGAACGTTATGCCTTGTATAAATACTGGGCTCGTTTCAGCCGCTTTTACAAGGAGCAGCCGCTCAACCTCATACGGTGAGACCATTCCTTCATTCAAAAACAAACACAAAAAATTATATTGACATTTATATATGTATGTGTATACATACATAGAATCATAATTTTAAACAGCCATTATAAGCAATTAGATTCCAAATTTTCAGAAAATGTAATACAAATTTTTGTTGAAATACTTTTAAGGATAAGAAGGGCATCAAGAGGCTGCTGAACAACGGGACTTACGCAGCTGCCTTCCCTCTGCATGATGTAAGTCTTTAACAGAGGAAGATGTGCATTCAGTGGCACAAACCTATCGACTAGTAGATGTTTCTCTAGAGACTTGCGTTTCGTAAGGTTTAATAACGATAATAACAATAACGTTAATGTGTGTTTTTTGTAGTCTAGGTACTGGACCAGGTCTCGTGATGCTAATTGTGAGAGTGAACGTTATGCCTTGTATAAATACTGGGCTCGTTTCAGCCGCTTTTACAAGGAGCAGCCGCTCAACCTCATACGGTGAGACCATTCCTTCATTCAAAAACAAACACAAAAAATTATATTGACATTTATATATGTATGTGTATACATACATAGAATCATAATTTTAAACATAAATTTTCAGAAAATGTAATACAAATTTTTGTTGAAATACTTTATGCTATCATAGCTTAAACTACTAAACATTAATAAATTGATTTGACCAATGGTGTGAGTTTGAGGGTGGGACTGTCTGCTTGTTTGACCATTTACAGATGGGCCAGGGTTCATTAAAGCTGTTTTTGCAGTGATTGCAGAAATGTATGTAATGCAATGAATTAAAGGTACAATATGTAAGTTTTCGCCGCTAGAGGGCGCATATTCAAAATAAACAAAGAAACAAAGGCGTAGTTTGATGACGCCGTGACTGATTGTGGAATCATGGGAGTCGTCTTCATCCCCACAGCTGACGCAATCCAACAGGACTCGGGCAGAAATCATGTTCATGGATGAGCTAATGTATTAAATATTTATTAACATCGTAGTATGAAGCAGAGTGAGGCTGAAAGCCGTCGAATCGAAACGAGGCCGCTGAATGAGCGCGACACACGGCTCGAAAGCAGCGGAGCTTTTATTATGCCACAGTCGACCGCTTCCGCTTCTTCTGGTCGTGCGTATGTGGGGTAAAGCAGCGCTGTTTTATCATACTAGATATGTTTGAAAGTTCTGTTATCATGCTACTCTGTGCAGTCGTCACCTGTTTATTAAACTACACAACATATTAAAGCGTCTTTGGTGTTTCCATGTTTTCTACAAAACAAAAATGGAAATCGAGGGGTTATGACGTCATTGGCAGGCGACACAATGACACTATAGACACGGTCCGTGTCACTTGTTAAAATTGCTTATTTCTCTGGATTTAAACATTCTTCGAAACATTTGGGATAATGTAAGTACACAAGTCAGCAAAATATATAACACTGTTCTAGTGCATTTTGGATATTTTAATAAAACAATCTTACGTATTGTGCCTTAAAGGGGTCATAGGATGCTACATGCACTTTTACAAGTTGTTTGAACTGAAATGTGTGTTGGCAGTGTGTGTACACAACTACCCTAAAATGATAAAAATCCACCCTGTGTTTTTTTTTAATCTGCTCAAATCTTTACCCCTTTCTCAAATCGAGCCGATCTCAGATGCCTGTCTGTGTGACATCACACAGACAGGCCCCTCCCACGATAGTTTGATTGACAGTAGCGTTTCAGCACAGACTGGACTGGTGTCTTACCTTAGCTCCGCCCTGAGTGAGCTGTCATCAGTCCGCCATTGTTTCACCGCCGGAGCAGATGTAGACAAGAATGACTCCTAAGCGATTGAGGTGTTCTGTTGTTGGATGTAATAATGAACATAGCAGTCGTCATTTACTCCTGACATCTGAGCCGCTGAACTTGCAGTGGATTACATAGTTTCTGAAGGGAATGCGCCCCCGATCTACATAAATGCATCTATGTTCGTGCAAATCATTCATGATCCAGCCTCATCTACAGAAGAACTGAGTATAATTTTTGTAATGAATCTTTGCAAATCGCCTTTCCTAATAATGTGCTAATTAGCAAGTTTCACGATGAATGCGGCTGAAGTAAACAGTCTCTCTGAGAGCAGCTTGGAAGAAAGGGGCGGGGTCAGCAGAGCTCATTAACATTTAAAGGAAAATGCTACAAAAACGGCTTGATCTGAAAAGAGCTGTTTTTGACAGGGTAAAAAATGTCTTTTTTTACACTACCATTGAGAAATTTTAACCAAACTATGTCACTGATTTTTCATTAAGACCCCAAAAAATCATATCAACTTGTGGAAAATGGGCATCCCTTTAAAAACCTAACAAACAAGTTTTTATTGCTGAGTTTATTAACACTATTAAGTCTTTCTTAACAGTCTCATATTCTCAACCTAACAATATATCTCAACAGTCAAAATTGAAGGCATACTAGATAAATGTATCTTCCAATGGTAAATTTTCCACAAAGGTAGTTGTTGTTGCATGAGTTAGTTTTGGTCTACTAAAACGTATATTTCATGTATTCAAATGTATTTGTAATTGCACATTATAATTAATGATGGAGGTGCAATTTAGCACATTTAAAATATATTAACATTAAATGTGATTGTAAGCGGCCAATTTCAATACTTCAAGCAGCTTGAGGGATGCTGGACGGTGCTTGTAAATGGACGCGCACGCTTGAATTACTATTAACTGGAATGTCCACACAAGATGCTAAAATGTTCATTATTGTAGATTTATTTTACCGTTACTGGTCTTCATTTCCATGTAGGCAAGAAACCAAACAAACAGTCAATAAATACACCAGTCCTTCACCTTTACAACGACTTGCATAGTGCGGTACAAACAGCCTAGCGTAGCGGTCAAACAACTGTGTGCACCTTCCCTCCAGCAACACCTGTTACCTGAAGGAAGGTTCTCACCTATATTTTGTGAACAATCACCCAACAATCACATACACATACATAACAATTCAAAGTAAAGACCAAAATGGCTCTTACAGTGATATCAAATAACAAACTGCAGGTAAAATTGCAATAATGTTTTCCCCCCATGTGTTTTAGTATGTTTGCTAATACATCAAAATAACTGCAAAATAACTTTTTAAAAGTGCTTCTTTAAATCATCAAAATCACATATCTTGTCTAATGATGTATAGCGAACTTAATAGCATTTTGAAAGCACTGCAATATTTTTTATCATTACTCAAATAGGCTGATGCATGTTTTGCACTGATTTGTTTTAGAAATTAACTCAAGGTTCCTTTTTAAGTAAATGATCACCAAATCGATGAAATCTAGAGAATGTGAGGTGTTGCTGACACTTTGAGCAAGTGGATGGAGGTTTCTTTGAATAATGTGTTTCCTGTACCACAGGAAGTACTATGGAGAGAAGATCGGCATCTACTTCGCTTGGCTGGGTTTCTACACAGAGATGCTGACCTATGCCGCAGTTGTTGGTCTGCTCTGTTTCATCTATGGTGTGGCCAGCTTTGATGAAAACGTCTGGAGGTGAGGATAAGACAAGGGGCCCTATTTTAACGATCTAAGCGCATGGTCTAAAGCGCACGGCAATTACACTTAGGGCATGTATGAATCCACTTTTGCTAGTTTAACGACGGGAAAAACAGTTGGCGTGCCCAGTGCATTGTCTAAAAGTATTGTCCCTATTCTCTTAATGAGTAATGGGTGTGTTTTGGGCATAACGTGCCATAAACCAATCAGAGTCTCATCTCCCATCCCCTTTAAATCCAGTTGCGCTCTCGCCATGGCAGGTTCGCTATTTACATGGCGGAATAAAATTTTTCATTTTTAAAAATGTTTGTGTGTCTAACCCTGTGTGTGTAATAAGCAAAGTGTACGTGCATTGTGCACCCGTCTATAGGCGCATATTACTAACGCGCCCTTTAAATAACAAAGAAAAAATATTGCGCCAGACTTTAGACCAGGTTTGAGTTGGTCAATGGCGCAGTCTATTTCAGTTGCCTAAAAATAGCAACACGCAAGCAATGCGCCTGAACACACCTCGTTTTCAGACCAGCACGCCCATGGGCGCACAAATGGGCGCAAATGCATTAGCTATTTAAACAACGTGGCGCAAGGCATGAAAATGACAACTGTGTTGGGGTGAAACTAGCAAAAAACACTTGCGTTGCGCTGGGCGCCACATTGGTGTATGGGTGTATGATTGATGGGGCCCATTAAAGGGGTCATATGATGCTTTTTTAAAGATCATTATTTG